AAGTGCGAGGTCATCAAGGGGCTACCACCATTGCTGAGTAGTTGCATCAACCTCGTCTCAGGACACGAAAATACTCATCAAATACGAATAGCGCCTATTTAGTAGACAAAACCTGAACAAGAAAATGTTCAAATGATCAAACAGTATGAGCATCTTCATTTGTCTTTATAGATAATGTATATTGACAAGGATTCTTGATAAAATTACTTAGCAACTCTAGCTTGTTGCCGCCGGAAATGGCACTGTACTGCTTCCAGTCACCAAAACTGGTATGCCCGTTGTTCGTGATAGGCTCATAGTCTGACTCTTTATAGGTACCGGCACTGCTCCACTCACTACAGTCGGTCCAGGGATCTGGTACGTTATCAATGACGAGGATATATTGATGCTAATTCCAGGATCAGCAGCTTTATAAAATGAGGTTGGCTTTGTGCCCTGTCCTTCTCCAACACCTTCGGTAATCGCCGGAGCATGTGCCGTATCATTCCCCGTCACCCAGAGATTGAAACACTGTGGATAGTTCTGGGCGCCGTCTGGCCTCGCTGCATAATGCAATGCAATAATCTCATGTCTCAAAACGTATGGTCCGGGCTCTATTCCGGGGGGGATTTCGATCAGCCAGCTGTTATTGCTCGCAATCAAAACATCCGTCGCCCAGTATCCCGGTGGTCCACCACTCTCGTTCAGAAATGTTGGAGCGCTATTATCGATTTTGAAGAAGGTGAGGTTGTTCTTATTAACAGTGGCACAGCCTGATAGCTGTCCAGCGCAGGAGGCTAAGTAAGACATGACTGGACCCTGATGGGACTTGGGCCATCCATTCCACTGGAGATGAATCTTATCGCCCGCTTTCACTGGAGCGTGAGCTTTTGGTGGAGCACCATCACGGTGGCAGATTATGTCGGCAGTAGAGTAATTAGAAGGAGGTACGAAGCCATCATCAGCAGCTGTAGTAAACCACCCGATTGTATTTGCTGGGTTGGTGGTAATCTTCGGGTTGAATCCAGGGAATAGTTCCCCGTTGATTATGAGGTAGTTGATGTGTGAGTGAGCGCTGGTTAGACGCCACAAGCCTGAACAAACAATCAACACAGCAGCGAGAAACCGGGAAAAGATAGGGGCCGACATCTTGGTTCAGCCGTGAGTAAAAGTCCTGCCGTGTCACAGACAGTCATAAGAAGGCATAACAGATCAACATATATGAGTAGATCTGATGAAGCGGGATGGGAACGTGCCAAGAGGACAACTATTCATACTCACGTAACAACCCCGAGTGTCTACAGACTAACGGTGGGTCGGGAGAACGCATAACTGATGTCGTGTATTATGGTTGGAGATAGATGAAAAGCGGGCTGGTATATTTGATTCTATTAAGTTAAATACCCCATGATCGCTGATCTTTGCAATTTCAGCGCCGGAAGGATGCAAAATCTGAACAGCGCGGACGGTGAATCGATGCATCTTTGTGAGGGTACCTCTTGATCCGCACAATTGTCAAAGGTAATGCATAATACATATTCAGGCCGGACACCGTCGCGCAATTCTCTTTCACCTCACAATTGGGCCGCATTTTGTATCGCCATGCAAATGTCCATTTCAATGGCAATAACCACCACGTTAACGGAGACAAGAACCCGATGTCAGCAGCTAGACATGCCTTCGTGCCGGCTTAGCCTCGGCGGATAAATGCTGTGTAAGAAAATTATGAACGTCTGGTGAGTGTGGTAGGTAACGGGAAGGCAATTGTGGAGAAGTTGTTAATATGAAGCCATGGACTTCCAGAAAGGTCTCGGAAGCAACGCAATCAGGGGTTTTCGGAAGCAGAACCGTTGGTCATGGTTACCCAAACCGGGATTCACACAAGGATTCCCCACATTCTCTCACCGTCACACCCGATCAAAGACGTCGATCTTGACACACCAGCTATGCGCCACATTATGCAATGAGACACTTGACACTATCATCCCAAATGTGCCGATGTGAAAGTACACTAGCATGTATCTGCATGTCGGGCTGTACAGGAGCGTTCAGCTGGCTAACAACTTAAGGCTTTGTTGACTACAGAAACTTCAATACTGGCCTTGAATCTAGGTAGTGAGGCATGTCATCACGCCTCGACCTTTCTCGGCACAGTTCATTGTCTTGTCGTAAGTAGGCAGCTTTGTATTATTATGTCATGACTTCGGAACTATTACATGCCAATCTTTTTAATAGAGACCCTCGAGTGTCGCCACCTTGTCCTAATTCATTTCCATGTCTTACTATAGTTTACATTCCATCTTGCCTTCCGTGCATCTCCATAAAAAGAAATTACGCCTAGACCATGATATCTTTCCTTTGAATAGAAATCGGAACCATAAGTCAGAAATTTGATAAACTCCTGTGCAGTCAAGTCGTGTTGCGCTGTCTTAACAACTAGGCAAGGTATGACCAGGTGACAGGCATCATGCTAAAAGAAGCCTGTTTCAAAGATTTATCTCTGATACGTGTAATTAGTCGGTCTTCCGTGAGCTCCAAGGTAACCCGTCTCTTGCGAAATATGTGGATTGCGGCGGGAGTCTTCCATTAGGTAGGACTCTGACTGGCTTTCTGCATCTGCCTGTTTGTCCAAGTCTTTGTAGCCACTAATGATCTGTCCTGGGTGTAACCAGATAAACGCGGCAGCAACTAGGGCCATGAGTGCACCGTCGAGCACGAGCACGTATATTTCGCTCTTCATCAATGCGCCATCTGACCCCAAACCGAACTCTGCCATACGAAACAGAGATCGTACCATGATCAGGAAACTCGAAAAGTAAAGCACGTAAAGAAACTTGCGCCAGTCGGCAGCGACGGAGTAGGATTGGGCGGTAGGCATCTTGACGATTCGTACATGAAAGACGACTGTGACGACCATGAAGAACCCGAAGAAGATAATCTGAATACCGAGACCACCCAAGATAATGTTTTCGCCAAGCGACAAATCATCGGCCGTTTTGGCGGTTGCCAGCATTCCGCCACCTAGAAAGTGTCAGTCACACGTTCGACAACACCTTGGAGAAGAAGGCTGACCAGCTCCTTGTGCGAGGAATGACAAGACATCGCCAAGAACGAAGACCTTCGTCAACCACGTTGGCCTAATCATCGAATATTGTCCCGCGTCTAGGAGTCGAATCAACCGTCCGAGCACCATGTATATTGACGCGGCATAGAGTGTCGGCCCTAGGAGGAGTAGAACGCTTTGAATGATATAGGGATTTTTGGTCCAGTCCGGCGTCTCTTTTGCTGAGATAGCACGTCCAACATATCCGACGCACTCAACTTTAAACAACCCTTACGTTAGCCACTATGACCTGGAATAGGAATATCGACGTGTAACTTACACACAACACCAATAAAGAACGGGATGAAAGACCACGTCCTACTCTTGATGATAAGCCACAGATGTCAAAGCGCTGCTATACCAAAGAACGCAATAAATGCGACCGCTGCAGCAAACGAGGGGTCATATTGATAAAACTTAAAGCCAGTATCGAATGCCATGAAGTCGATGAAGTCGAAGCAACTCGGAAAAGATGCAGAGGAAGCAGTAATGATCGTGGGTCTACAAAGAGAAGAAGTGAGAGAATAACACAACAAACTCCAAAATAAGCTTTTGTTTTCGGTAGAGATATCTACGTCGACATTTTCAAGAGGAAGCAAAGCCTTATCAGTAGAACCAATTCGAGCCGCTAAGTGCGGTGCGCCCTGGATGGTTGACGTGCCACCCCCTGCTCAGCCTCTGCCCCCTTTTCGTGTTTACAAATTGAAGCAGGAGAAATGCATGGAACAGAAGAGCCCTAGCGATACGCGCATCTGCCTTTCCATTCTAAAGGAACTATTTAGACTGACCGTACCCCTTAGGCGCGAGGGTCTGGACCACGGCGCGATTGGCAGGTGTGTGGTTGCCCAATCGCGTTGATTCCCGACTAACGGTTGGACGCTAACTTATACTTGTATTCGGGGTTGAGGACATCCCTGCATGCAGGGGCCGCCCAAGCACTGCCTCCTACTTCTCACATTGGTTCCCTCACTATGCATAATAGCTGCTGGTGCATAAGTGCTAGTCCTTCCAGTTCCAACAAGGCACCTAGCAACGTAATACGCGTGTAAAGATAAAGAGCAGGTAAAACATCATGAAATCCCATCGGCCCCAGCCCTCATATGTGTGTACGGCACCTCCCGTCGTGTCGACCCATTGTGCAAACCGCATGTAGTTAAGCTCATGCTAAGGCGTTCCAGTTCTAGGAAGATCCGTTCTCGAGATGAAAATGTGGTTTAGACTGTTCTTGTCCCGCCTGCAAGTAACCGGTTGGGATATTTTTAGTTGTGCTGCCACTACGGAGGTTAGCCGGACGAACCTCCACGGTAAATTTGTCTAACATTCCTCTTCCTTTTATTTTTTATAACAATCATGCCTTGAAATACTTCCTCATGAATGAAATCAAACGGATCAAGTCGTCGCTATTCTGATGGGGCCACTACGTTGCTCGGACAAATTGTTCGGTGGAAATGGTGTCTCATAAGCTTTTCACGGGTCGGTGCTTTTCTCCATCTCCGAATGCTGCTCCGCCACCAGCCCCTGGCGAGCTGAACTTGTCAGAGTTGTCATTTCACCCCTACCGCCCGGAGCCGGACTTGTATGGCCGGCTACTCAATCTGTAATACGGTCTTTTGTGTCTCATCGCAACGCAAACCGGCACCTCCTTGCCGTTTGTTGCTTCTCACCGAAATGAGGAAGTCAGAATGAATGGCAAGGTCACGTGCCAAGCTGCATTTGCTTCACGCCATGCCGAAAAGAGCACTAGTGTCGCCCTTGCCGATCCAATCTCTAGCCTCCAAATCGCCCTCAAAACAGCTTTAGTTCATCTCTATCTATCACTGACTTGCCTGTTCCGTGCTGTACCGAGCGGCCGAGCCACAGTCATCACCTAAAGCGGGCTTTGTGATACGCAAATGAAGTCCAGAGCTCCTACTTCAAGATGGACCGCAATCAGCAGGCGGTCGCTGCGAATTTGATGGGTATGTCACTTTCCAACTCGTCATCGACTAGGGATCGCATGCGTCTGGACTCGTTCCGTGTCTTCCTCATGAGCGCCCTGACACCCCTTCTGCTACCTCATGTATCTTCCTCCAGTGGCTGAAATGCTGACTTTACGGCAGATCGGGAAGAGAAGATCATCGCAGATGTGCTGGAGCGTTTTCGCAACCTGATACTGGTCACGACGGAGCGCATCACCAATAAGGCATCTACCGGCCAGGCTGCGTACCATAGCATGACCATGGACGTTGAGACACAGGGCATGGTATGCGGTATCGTTCTTAATGAAGAGACATTGGCTAACTCCTTGGACAGATCAAGTCGGTCGAGGATCTCCTCGCGCTGACTCGTCAGTTGCGCGAGCTATGGGTTGTGGGCCCATTACGCAAGCCAGGCGAGGGCGAGAGAGAAGCAGAGGAGCAGATTGACTCGGAGGTACAGACAGTTGTGCAGCTGCTGAACCAGATACGAAGTCAGTCACGACAGAAACTTGTGAGTGAAGGCGGCGGCTTCGGGGAATATGTTGCTGGCCCGCTAGAGACTCTCGAGCCTGGCCGCGTGGAGGGGGCTGTGGCTGCCTCACAGGGAACTACTTCACAATAAATTCCTCGGAGTGGCTTGGATTTATTACTACCTTGAACGGAGTTTGAGACCGAACTGGACTCCGCCACGGACCATATCTATAGTCAGAAAATAGATTAAGACTTGTCATTTGCGTTAGTCTTCGTGCTCTGAGTTTCGGAATTAAAAGTAACCGCGCGATTCTTTCCTAGACTGATCTTAGAGTCGTACCTCCAAACGGGATATAATGCCGTAGTAGCGGCCAATCCGCGTAAGGACTTCTGCGGAGAATTTTGGGGCTGGGTGTGGGGTGACCCTGTATATGCTATCTGTTGAGAATTCTACTTACCACCACAGGCACCCCTAGCATGGATTCTCCGGTTTATGAGCGTTGCCTCCGTAAACGGCGTATCAGACTGCTTGAGCTTCTCCCAGGATCGAGTGTGTCCCCAATACAGGCGCGTACAAAGGAAGCAAGCCTGGATGATGCACTGTCGTTCCAAGCGCTCTCCTATGTCTGGGGCGACCCAAACGCGAAGAGGCCGATCACATGCAACAGTCAAATCTTTGAAATAACTGTAAATCTCCACGATGCACTACTGCATTTAGTACACCCATATGAGTCGAGATTGGTGTGGGCAGATGCCATTTGCATCAATCAGGATGACCCCATCGAGCGCAGCCACCAGGTCCAACTTATGCGAGAAATTTACACCCGGGCTTCTCGCGTTGTTGTCTGGTTGGGGAAAGATAACAACGAGAACACAGAGACGGCCATCTCGTTAATCGGGACCATTCACGAGACTTGTGTGGAATATGCTCAGTCTACTAATGCCGATCTTGCCTACTTATGCGCTGACGACCCGGAGCTGCTGACGGTACGGCCGAGTAGCATGCGAGCAGATGAGTGTGGTTGGCAGGCACTTCGCCAGTTCTATTCCAGACCTTGGTTCACTCGAGTATGGTGTGTCCAGGAGATAATCCTTGGCCGCGATCCGGTGTGTATGATTGACAACAGGACTGTGGAGTGGGAGAAAGTTGGAGTGGCTGCGTCATGGCTGAATAATGAGGTTGTCGGACACGACTTTGAGCTACCAGAAGACTCACCGAGTATCATAATGGACATTCCTGCATTCAATGCTCATTGTATGCACAACCAGTACGCCTTCGACGGTCTTCTCCTGGAGACCCTCACTAAGTTTCGCGGTTTTGAGTCTACTGATCCCCGAGATAAAGCATATGGTTTGCTTGGACTCGTGAGAGTTGGCGCAATGGAGGTGGACTACCAGAAGTCTCTCATGCAGGTCTATGAGGATGTTGTTCTCGCATGCATTGAGAGTACTAGCAAACTTACCGTTCTCTCTTATGTATCTCATCCGACCACGTATGTATTCGACGGCTTCCCATCGTGGACCCCAAGATGGGATCGCTCCATGAATGTCTCATCACTGACCGGGGAGGAAATTGGCTGGTGTGCTGGGGGCGAAGAACCTATGAAATATTGGGATTGCTCCACCTCGAGCGTCCTTGGACTCTCTGGCATCAAGTTTGACGATGTATCATCCGTCAGCGAAGTCATGACCATGGATTTATTTGCTGAAACCTGGGATCAGCCGACAAAGCATCCTTTCATAGAGCTGTGGGAGGATCTTGGAGCCAAAGCCGATCCAGTAGGGGAACTTTGTCAATTGGCAAGATCTCTGACGGCGGGGTATACCTCGACCTGGTCGAACATAATTGGCAGTGAAGAGGATGTTGTGACGCAATTCTATTCGGATTTCGCAGGATTTATTCAGAGGCTTGCCGAACATACAGGTCTCAAGAGTGTGACCCCTGACCCAGACTCATTTGCAGTTGTCGAACATCACTGGGAACAATTTCGAATTGCTGCGTCCAGAGTCTGCGATGAAAGACGGTTCTTTCGTACCGAACATTGTTCGTATGGAATTGGCCCGGCTTGCATGGCTTCAGGTGATGTGGTGGTCGTCTTGCGTGGTGGTACAGTCCCCTATGTCCTCAGACCGTTGGAAAATGACTTTCTGTTCCTCGGGACATGTTATGTCGACGAGATCATGTATGCACAGCTCTTCAGCGATAACGAAAACGTGAGATGTATAGAACGAGTCTTTGGGCTTCGGTAGGAAAGCGTCAATGAGACGGTACATGATCATGAAACCACGCAAGATTGAGTGAGCACTTATGCCTGTCCCAGAGATCCAAAATCGTTGTTATCAAAACGGAACAAGCCCACCAGCTGGCAGGCAGCTGCATGTGGAGAGCGAGCACCGCGAACAGAGGCCTCTGCCTAACCAGCCACAGCACGAGCCACGCCCAGAGGGGTCCAGCTCCACAGTAAAGTTGAAATTCAGAAAACTTTCCTTCCGAGCTGTCGAAACCATGAGCAGTGATGAGCCAGATCCGCCTGCTGGCACCATGGAGGATTCTAAGGACTCCAGGACCACGATGGCTCCATCTACTACAGCCGACAGCGCCAACGGACCTCCATCAACAGCCAATAATGGTACGGCAAGATCCTCCTTCAACGCTCAAAAGAGCAGTCGAGGTAACGCGCCTGGCCCTCGAAGAGGAAATAACCAAAGGGGAGGTCATGGCCAGAAGCGACCTCGTGGGAAAGACGGCAACAAGTGAGAATATTTCCTACTTCTGCTTCAATCTGTGCTTCAAGGAGCCCAATGCCAATGGCAACTGACCAGCTCCTAGAGGTTCACACAAGAAATCCGACCGCGTTGGCGACTGGCAAGAGAACAAGCGCCGCAAGCTAGACGACAATGGCGAGCCCTTCGCTTCCAAAATGAGCATTCCTTTCAGTGCCGACGAGATTGCCGCCGAGGGGCGCCGACCGAAGCGCAAGGTCGCCGTCATGGTTGGGTATGCCGGCACTGGCTACAAGGGCATGCAAATCAATCATGAGGAGAAGACAATCGAGGGCGACATCTTCGCAGCATTCGTAGCTGCCGGCGCAATCTCCAAGGCCAATGCCAACGACCCCAAGAAGTCGAGCCTGGTCCGTTGCGCACGAACTGACAAGGGCGTCCATGCTGCCGGCAACGTCATCTCTCTAAAGCTGATCATAGAAGATCCCGATCTTGTTCAGAAGATCAACGACAATCTGCCTGCTCAGATCCGGGTATGGGATATTCAAAGGACAAATAACGCCTTCAGTTGCTATCAGGCGTGTGATTCGAGATGGTACGAATACCTACTGCCGAGCTACTCGCTTCTCCCTCCTCATCCGGACAGCTATCTCGGAAAGAACGTCATCGCTGCCGCTAAAGAAACCGGGACCTACGATGAATGGTCGCAAAGGCTGGAAGATGTACAGGGCTTTTGGGAGACCGTCGAGGAGAACGAAATCAAACCGATCCTCGAGAAGCTCGACTCAGAACTTAAGGAACAGGTCTTACGTCTCCTGCACGCTTCCGAGAACAAGCAGATCGACGACGACGAAAAGCCGCAGTCAAAATCCAAGGAAGAGGCTCTTGATGCCAGTGCGAGGAAAGAGGAAGCTCCAAAAGAAGAAGGAACAACAGAATTAGGAGCTGCAGAGGAGACTCCGAAGGATGGAGACTCCTCCGTTGCTGAATTGTCAAAGATAAAAAAAGAGTTCACACCAGCCGAGCTTGTTGTTCGCGAGATCAAAGCGGCATATGTCGCTGCAAAACGTCGTTACCGAGTTACACCTACACGTCTGCAGCAACTTCAGTCGGCGCTAGACCTCTATGTCGGGACGCATAACTTCCACAACTACACTGTTCAGAAGTCGCACAAAGATCCCTCTGCGAAACGGCACATCAAGTCATTCGTTGTCAATCCAACCCCTATCCTCATACGCGACACTGAATGGCTGTCGCTGAAGGTCCATGGCCAAAGCTTCATGATGCATCAGATTCGCAAGATGGTTGCCATGGCGGTCATGTGTGTGCGCTACGGTGCGCCCATTAGCAGGATCACGGATAGCTACGAGCCTCGGAATATCAGCATCCCAAAAGCCCCAGGTCTCGGTCTTCTCCTAGAACGACCAGTATTTGAAAACTACAACAAACGAGCCACCGATGACCTAGGTAAAGCGACCATCGATTTCTCCAGGTATGACAAGCAAATCCAGGAATTCAAAGACAAGGAGATTTATACCCGAATGTGGGATGTAGAGGAGAAAGAGAACTCGTGAGCAGCCCTTGATATCATCTTGCAAGAACCCACTAACACTTATAGTTTCCACATATTCTTCAACCAGTTGGACAACTTCTCCACTGCTTATTTCCTCTGGGTCACTGCTCATGGTTTCAAAAATTCATATGAGCGAAAGGACAAGGATGAAGTACCCCGCGAGTTGGCCGAAGAACTCGGTGATGACGATGGCGATCCAAATGAAGGCGAAGGATGAAATGAAGATCTGTCCATATCAGTCACGTAGTTTGAAAATAGTGACTGAAATTGCATTACATTCACAGATGGGGACAGTAGCTTATCGACTTTTATACCCGTTCTCTGATGTACGCCTTCAGCCAATGGCTTATGTCTTTTGCTCATGCAATGCATGACGAGCACAATGACCTATCTCAAGTGACCATGACTAGGCTGCGCTAGCCACCACACGAGCTGAGCCCTCACATCCACGGCCGGCTGCTCCCAGACCACACTTGAGAGTTATTCTTCCTGTGCCCACAATAGCCAAGTCCGCTCCATCAATCTTGACAGTCTGATGTAGCGTAATGGCTTCACCATGTTAGCCTGCTATGGCCAGTCGAGGTTTATGTCGGATGTGAACTTTACCTTGGTCTCCGCTATAGCTCAACTGCGAGGCGGTGAAAGTAGGATCATCCGTTGTAGTTGTGGTGTTGCGGTATTCCGGGCTATACACCCAGGCGGTGTGAGTGATCTTTCCTGGAGTACCTGAATATTCAGCATAGACATTTCCTGTTTTGTAGCCAGATGCTGCATTGTGTGCTGTGACGTTGACGTCCCAAAATCCGTAATCGAGAGTACTAGTGATTGTTGCTGGGAGTGCCAAAGACACAGGTATAAAGGGCAGGATTGATATCAGAATCCGCATATTGAGAGTCCTTGAGACAGCTTCTTATTTACTTCTCGTTCGTATTCTTTTCGGTTTCACACTTTGAGCGCGATTGAAAATTGGCCTAGAAGAATGTGAAGGACAATAGACATGTTTATGGGTCCTGTTGTCAGAATGGGCGGACTATATAATGAGCCTTTGCCTCTATATATCTGAATGAAAAGCTAGACGCATTCCCGGATACTACGCTGAACCTGTAGGATGGACCGTTGTGTACGTGTCTAGCTGTGCCCCTTGCTCCCGGTGTATATTTGTCTAATTCAGCCTGAGTCCAATGTTGCGTCTACTGAAAGGCCCTCGACACAAACTCGATTGTAACGTGACTCTTCATTTGCCCAGGATTATTACTACTCCTTTTTTGAGGGGGAAAAAAAGTAATCCAATGCATTATACTTATCAAAGTTTTTGTATCTCATTATCGCTTTTCATCTAGTAAGAGAATTGATATTGTAGGCATGTCAAGAGATGCAATCAGAACGACGATGCACCTGCATAAATTGAAGTCGATGTCAGTTCTCCAAGAGTCTAGGTAGAGGTTCTCAGTGCTTCGGGACGTCTCTTCGCCTACAAGCGACTGATGATTTGCGACGTTGTCGACTTTGCTGTAGACAATGCATTTCTATTGTTACTATTTATCTACTTATTTCAGAATAATGAAGTGTTATCTTATCGCTGAGAAGCTTTTAGTCACGAATTTCCCGTTCTTCAGAGGTGATACGCATTTCCCGTTTTAGCGTGCGTTGATAGGACTAGAGTCTCTCCAACTAAGTGGGCCACAATGGCGATGCGTTAATAATTCGTCCGCCGCGGCCTATCGAAACCATTGCTTTTGACTCAGTACCATCCCTTGTCTTGCTGTCTCCTAGGGACTCTCTTCCATTCTATCGAAATAGAACACCTTATTTTATAACCCAACAGGAACTTTCGATTAGCTTTATAACCTGTCTAAGAGGCAGTGTCAAGCCTTGTCAAAAAGACTCACAAGCTTTGCTCCGAAAAGCGGACCTGACCAGCGAAAGACACGCAGGAAGATATGGCGACCGAAACTGGCCTCGATGGAGATGTTCTTCTTGTACTCACGATGCTGAAGCCATCTGATGCATGGTTTCAGAAAGTCCAGGCCAAGTTTCCTGGCTTACGAGTGCGCTGGGAGCCATCAAACAATGACAAGGGAATGCCCAAGGCAGCGTCTGAAGTTCCAAAAGACGCGTGGGAAGGGGTCACCATACTAGCAACATATTCACCGGTCCCGGCCTCCCTCATTCCAAACGTGCGCTTTGTCCAGGTTGTCTCTGCTGGTTCAGACTTGTGGGCGAACAATGAGATATACCTGAACAAGGAGGTGCTGTTCGCTACCGGAAGTGGAACCCAGCCGTAGGTTCAGACTCCGCTTGTGTAATGATGGCTGTCGAGAAATTGCTAATAATTGTTCGGGCTCGAAGACCTCAGATTGCGGAATGGGTGATCAGCACTTGGCTGGCCAGTCAGCATAATCTCTATAGCTATGTGGAGCGTATGAAGAAGGGCGTATGGGAGGCCGATCATATTTCAACCGTTGATGATTCAGTTGGTCGTCGAATGTATGCTATGGCCGTCTTTTCTTGACATTATAGTACTAGCCATAGTACGGCGGATGCTGACAGATATAAGGGGTATTTTAGGTTATGGATCCATAGGGCGACAGATCGCTCGTGTGGCAGCCGCTCTGGGCACGGAGGTATACGCTTTCACGGCGAGAGAGCGCCCGACCTCCGCTTCCAGAAGAGACGACGGCTATTCGACTCATGGACTTGGTGATCCAGAGGGTACCATCCCAGCGAAGTGGTTTTATGGGACAACGAAAGAGACCGTGAATGAGTTTCTTAGCCAGGATTTGGACATTCTCGTCATCAGTATGCCCCTGACGAAATCTAGCTATCGTTTGATTGGGCCGGAGCAGTTTGCTATATTGAGCAAGAAGAGGACATTCGTGTCCAATATTGCGCGTGGCCCTATTGTCGACACCGATGCTTTGATTGAAGCTTTGGAAAAGGGGCAAATAAAGGGTGCCGCACTTGATGTCACGGACCCCGAGCCGTTACCGGAGGGACATCCTTTATGGAAGGCACCCAATCTCCTAATAACACCTCACGTATCGTGGCATTCAAGCACGCACTGGGATCGGGTGTTTGATGTGTTGGCAGAAAACTTGGAGAACCTGGCATCGCACAAACCCCTTGTAAATAGACTGGACCGGTAGGATCTTCGAGGCGGAGCCTAATTAGAAAGTAAGCAAACTGAATCTGATCAATTTTGTCTTGTGATCATTAGCCAAATGGGTTATCGAATCGAACAGCTCCGTGATTCGCAGGCACACCGTGTTGGGCTTCGGTACTCAATCAGCTGCGGAGCTCCACCCGGAACTGATTTCACCGGCTGGGATCTTTGATCGTCCGACTAGAAGTACCGAGAATATTCCTACGACCTATCGGCCGATCGCCGGCCTCACCGTGGATCCTTACTGTACTCTTCAGACCAAAAGGCTTCGGCATCGGATGCGCTAATGATGCAAGAAGACATCGAGGTTTCGATACTTCAGGTGGTGAAGTTTAGTAATGCAACTGTAGCCGTAGGCTGCCTAATGCGGAACTCAGCCTACTAGTGCGTTCATGTGAGATATCGTGAGAATAGCCTCGAGAAGCTCGCCTCGTCCAGCACACTTGTGAAACAACTTTTCATACAGTATGGGCTAGTCAAGATTGCTGAAATTCGAATTGTCGCTGAGAGATGAGACACCTCTGGGCTCTGATTTTGCTTTGGTATGTCTCCTCTGTTGATGGTTTGTGGGACACTCCACATTCTCGTCAGGCCGCCTTGCGCATCGGATCCCCACATCGGTCTCTCTAGGTCTAACTAGTAACCCGCATTCATGACGGGAGCAGTAACCTGACCGATAGCCCCCGGGACCCGGGGCCGTTATCGGATCAAACTTTTAACGACCTCCTGACGGTCTCCAAGAATGATTCATGGAAAACTCTTCAGACCTTTCTATCATATCTTATGGGAGGACATTTAATGGCACGGAACCATTTCTGAGGGACTGTTGTTGATTTCGTTGAGAATCCTGTAATGTCAACATCTTTTGTACCTGGATAAACAAGAAAATGGGGCGTCCAGAAGGTAACACGGTACCGACCGATCAGTCTTCAGTAGACTTGATTGTTGTATCGTTTGACCCTGATGACAAGCGGGATCCTCATAATTGGAAAACGGTATGAATTCGGCCTTTATCTCAATTAGTCATTGATCAAATATTTACATCAGAATAGGGGAAGAGAACATTCATTGTATTTACTGCAGTGTTGGCCTGTGTCAATAGCAGCATGGGTTCTGCACTCACTGCAAATCTGATTCCTGACCTAGAGAAAACCTTCGGTGTCCCAAGCGGCCCGCAGGTAGTGTTGCCTGCCTCCGTCTTTCTCTTGGGATTTGTCTTTGGACCTTTGATCTTTGCACCCTTGAGTGAAACCTATGGGCGCAAGCCAATTATCATGTTCGGATATAGTCTTTTTACTCTAGCGACCTTGGCATGCCCGCTTTCACCAAATTGGGCTTCGTTTTTGATTTTCAGATTTCTAGCTGGGATGTTTGGGAGTCCTCCTATGAGTGTGATGGGCGGGGTCATAGCTGATGTGTTCCAAGACAAGGTTGCTCGGGGGAGGATGTTGACGTTTTGGTCTGCAGCAACATTGATAGGTCCGTTGGTCGCACCAATTATCGCTGGATTCTCAAGCCCCCAAGGGTGGAAATGGACATTTTGGTGAGTAAATCTTTCATATCAAGAATTCTTAGACTGACAACCCAATCTAGGATTGCACTGGTAATAGCGGGTGTCTCTTTCATTCCTGTTTACATCTTGCCGGAAACCTTAGCTTCCAAGCTCCTGACAGTCAAAGCTGCTGAGTTGAACAAGAAATACAAGTGTCAAAAATACATCGGCCCTGCTGATCTGCAGCGACAAAGCGTGGGCGACTTTCTGGTAAGCACATTAGAAACAATAACGATATGGCTCTAACATGGATCAGAGGACAACACTATCAAGACCATTGTATCTCTTCAGCCACGAGATGGTGTTGTTTCTCAGTTGTCTCTATATGGCGTTTGTGTATGCCGTATTCTACATGTGCGTAAGTCATCTGCTCGGCTGAAGCCTGTGCTGACCACAGTAGGCTCATCGTATTCTTCAACACGATCTTTCAGGGCGTATATGGAATGAAGCCTGGGGTGGCAGGTGTTGCATTTACCATGAGTGAGTTCCCGAGCTTCTACTC